TGCAAAGCAACATTTGGTCTTATAAATATATAACTGTAGAAGATGGCGTCAGAACAGTTTGAAGAGCACCAAGACCCTGGATTATAGACTACTGGATTAGAGAGGGCAACATTTTAGAGTGCGGCAAAATTATCTTTACGTCCAAATGCGGAACTGGCCACAAGCTGTCTACTCAAAACACTCATTGCTGCACTCTTAATTCAGGGCTGCGAGATGCTGGCAAGATGCTACCAAGGTTGGACAGACGTTCTCCACACAACACATCCAAGATGAGATGCTGACCGCATGGTCATGCTGATGGTGGCTCCATGGATGACGCTGTTCTCCTGCTACCGTGAATCAATGCTGGCAGATGAATTGGCAGAACAGGCTTTAATCCATATTTAACCCAGCCAGTGCTGCTCCACTTGAGATGGGATAGAGGCTTTGTGGCTTCTAATCTTTACTGGTACTGGCTCATCGTGTCACCTTCAAAATCTTGTTATGGGCAAAAGGGACCAGCACACACATGCCAGGCAGCTATTAGTCCCCTTATATGTTAGTTAGCTATCAAGATACAGAAAAACGCTCTTATTTGTCTGTTTAAAATAACACCATACTGTCTAATTAATAGAGAAAAATCTAATTAATAATTGCAATAGTCTGAAATTTATTATGTGAGGATCTACTAATCTCTACTCCTTTTTCCTCAGTGTGATGCTCATCCCTCCAAGTCCTTCTTGATGTTGCAGCTGATGGCTTCAGCCTTCCCAGGCTACGAAGGGAAGGAATTTCCAAGGAAGTCCCTCCCAAGGAAGGTTTTCTCCAAGAGGAGTGGGATGTCCACGGTGACTTTGCTTCCTGCCCAGCCATGGGTCCACTTGGGGCTGGTTTTAACCCTCTTCTCCCTTTTCCTGGTCAGGAGCTGAGCAGCTCCCGTCACGCCAGCTTGGAGGAGCTACAGACTTTGTGATAAACAAAATAATAATGAAAAAAAAAACAAACCAAAACACATTTACTGGTTTACAAGGACATTTCTTACAGCAATAGAGGCAGGCATCGAGCCTGAACTTTAAGCCACTGCACATATTAAAGTCCTGCAGGGCAGGACATTATCTCAAAGCGAGTCTGGTGAGCTCGGGAAGATGAAATAAGTGGAAGAAAACACTGAGAATGGAGCAGACATCATTCAGCCTTACAAAACACGGCTGCGTTTTCCTGCAAAACCATGCCGGCTACCTGCATTGTAAACTGTGCTCACTCTCCTCATAGCCCTTTCTTGCAACTCGCACTTTTTCAATTATCAAAAATAGGTAAAATGGGTAAAAAGTACAACTAAAGGAAGGCTAACAATGAAGACTCTCCGAGTTCCTGAAAAGGGTGGATGTTACAGCAGCTTTATTTGGGATATTTTTTTTTCCACCAATTTTCTTTTCGTCTATTGTAAGAATGGGAGCAGAAATCAGGAGCCTAATACTTATTCCAGCTCAGGCAGCTCATGTGAATCATTTCAGCTTTCTGTATTTCATCTTTTTCTCTGCAGAGGAGTGTGAAAAGTGCTTGAACAGTGTGAATAATAACTCAAGCAGGGGCTGCTGGATTCCTCCTTGCAAGAAAAACATTTTCAGAGATCTGAGGTGTCATGTACAAGGCACCTTAAGAAAGGTCTGATTTCCCAAAGTGCCTAAATCTGCCTCATTTTGAGCATGAGGCTTTCTGGGCGCTCAGTGCAGAACACCAGGAATCAAGATGCCCCAAAGTACAATTTGCTTTTGAAAGCAAAGGCCAAGGCACTCTGCCAGTGAGATGTTTATATGGAAAACTCTGACTGAGAAGATGTCCTTTCTGTTTCACCCCCTGCAGTTCTAAGTCTCACCCTTCTGCAAAAATATCCAGGAATTTACGCTTCCAGGAAGGAGAACCAAGCTAGGAGCTCCGGCAGTTGTAGCAGAGCTGCAGAGATGAGAACCTTTTCTTACGTTCCTGTGACAGCAGACACCATCTGTGCTTGATCAGGACACCTTCCTGTGAACTTGTAACTCAAGTTTCAAAACTTTCAGTCCATGGACCTCTCTGCTAATGGACCTCAATGGGTTATGATACCTTATGAGTGGGCAAGGCTAGTGGAGCAACCAGTCCTTGGGATGCTCCTTCTCATCATTCATTTCAGCTTAGTGGCACCACCTCAGGCGAATTCAGTTCTGAGCAGGCAACGTGTCCATGAACTGAAATAGCTATTCCCATTCAGAAACCTGAATGATGTTTCCCAAGCTGAACAGTTGGATGATTTTCTCCTTTGGATCTCATAAACTAGACAGATCCTACCAAAGGCACCACTCCCAGCTTCTGCTATGAAGTGGCAAAAACCTAGACACAAGGGAGCTGTTGACCAACATTGAACTGTCATCTGGTCCACTCCAAACAACTGCAATGGATGCAGCATCTCTAACTTCATCTACTAACACCAAACGTGCATTTTTCATAGGAAAAATAAAGTGGAAGAATATACTTCAGTTTGCCACACCTACTACAGTCTCTCTTTGGACATTTATAATTGACAAATAAAACAGAAACCACAGCAAAAAAATAATGGTTTTCATCCCTTCCAGCAGTACAATAAAAAAGGCGAATAAAAGAGTCTTTGTTCCTAGAAGATCAGGCATGCATAGCGATATCATTTGTTTCTTAAATACTTATCTCAAAATCAAGGCTGCTACTAGGCCTGTTATGCACGTAGCCCTATAGCTGGACTTGACAGACATCAGGGCCCGTCCCCAACATTAACGAAGGTGTCAGACTCAAGTGAAGTCAATCTAAAATTTGTAAGGATTAGAAAATGGGTTGTCTACGTTCTTCATTTGCTTTCTTATTCAGATTTTTGAGTTGTCACAGACACCTTTTCCAGTTGACTTCCATAGGCATCAAGACCACAAAAAAACCCCAAACAAACAAAAAAACCCTTTGCTCCCTCCCAAATATTGCACTGATGTAAAAGCAGAGGCAAAAAGATGTTGACTGGCATCTCCTTGGCAAGAAGAGCGAAGCTCAGACCCATGCTGCTCACCGAAACACAGGCCCTTGCTCTATCTACCAGGCACAGTTTTTCCTCCAGGAACCTTTCCCAGATTTAGTGAATATTTTTTTTCCCCTGTACTCCCTCAAACTTATTTTATCTTTTTTTTAAGGGTAAATCATCCTCTACCTCCCAATCTTACTCCCAAGGTCGCACGTAAAACCTCACGTTCTTCTTGCTACTCCTCTCCACACTCTTCCCACTTATTTCCCTCCCTCCTTGGGGCACATCTTTAACCTGGACATAGATCTCCATCTGAATTCTCTTGTTTTGAAAAAGCAAAACTATGTGGCCAATTTGCACCCCGACTTTTCTCTTTAATCCATATTTCCGATCTGACAACATTATTTTTATTGTAAACCTATCACTATCTATTGTATTTTATCACTTCTATTGTAAGCTCAGTACTGTCTCCTTTTAAGGACCTAAGTTTTCAGCGTCCATCAGTCCCGATCTCCCATGAAATGTTCCTGAAGTTGCCACGACACGCAGACAACCACAACACAATCGAGCAGGATCCCCCTCCTGATCCTAATAAGCGGATTATTCCTTTCTGATGGAAATAAGGAGCCCTCTCTCTGCTGCTATCTCTACAATCGCTGGCATTGCTCAACTGCCGCATTTCATTTTTTAAAAAATTAACAGTTACAAGGGATAATCTCCCCAAGTGCATCCGCGGAGAGGATCTGATCCTGAGCGGGGCAATAAAATTGCAGCAGCACACAGTACATCTTAACTTAAATCTTCACTTAACGCTATATGAAGTACATTAAGGTATCTTTGGATTTTCCATCTCCTCTCCTGCAGATTACCAGGGCTTATCTCCCTCTAGACTGCAGTGTACCCAGCGCTCACAACACCCCGCACTGCGGCGTTCGTGGAGGAGCCAGCCGGGAGGAGCGGAGATCCTTTAGAAAGAAGTTCCAACAGGAGCTAAGGAGTGAAAAAAATACTTTATTAAGTAGTTCTGACTAGCACAGCTACCTGGCAGGATGTGGTAATACTGAATGTCCTCATTCTGATGTCCTCAGAAGCTATTTACTTCTCCAGGACCATGGAAAAAATGATCATGAAGGAAGGGAAGGAGCAAAAGCGGTTGGGTTGTGGAGTGTCCTTCTCTGGAGATCTTCCAAATCCTCTTGGATGCAACCAGGTGCCCTGTGCTCTGGGTGTCCCTGCTGGAGTAGGGGTTGGAGTGGATGATCCCTAGAGGTCCCTTCCAACCTCAACCACTCTGGGACTCTGTGACCTAGACTAAAGTGAAGAACTTGAAGCATGGTTGTGCCCTCCTGCATGCTAAAGGAGCCCCCAACTACGTAGCAAACTTAGTCTTCATCTCCCATGTACATAGACCTGCTTGGTCTTTGCAGATCAGCCTTCAGTTCTGTCTGCCCAATAGGTTCAAGACAACTAGAAAGTGGGCTGGGTATCTTCTCCCTTACAGGAATATGGAAACTATTCCTGTGGAATATATGGAAACCCTTTTTTCTTTTTGGCATAATGCATTTTTTCTTTTGTCTGCCTAGGAAGCACTGTCCTATTGAGAGCAACCCACTCAACACACACGTTTCCTTAGTTGTGCTTCCGATGTCAGCAACGCCGATTCAAATGAAGGGATTAACTACACAATGTCTTAGCACTGCTTTAGGCTGCTTAATTCTGCCTCTGTTTTTGCAAAGAAAAACGAGAAAGTCAATCTCAGTTTCAACTTTGATTTCTGTTCAAGCTCACCACTTACTCCTCATGCACAAGCAATTGCTTGCTTTGAAGCACTGCCCAGCAGTACGTATGCAACACTTAAAAACATACATACTGCTTAAAATAAGCATGCAGAGATAACACAGACATGCACATATCCATATACACAAACACAGCCCAATTACAACTGTTTTTTTTTTAAAAAATGCCTTTGGGGTCAAATCTGACCTGAAAGGACCCCCTTACTTACCAGCCTACTGCTCTTCCTACAGGACATCATGCTCAAGGAGGTCCCGACGAGCTCATCTGGAGCAGCTCTGCACCTCCAGCACTCTCCTGCCTTTATCAGGATGCTTTTGCCTTCTGCCTATTCCCAGCAGATGCTGGAAAGGACTCGTAATGATGCTGTAATCAAGACCTGGTGATGATGTGCAATTAGAGACTCATGGAAGAAGTTTGGGAAGCTCTTTTGGAGAAGCAGCCTCGGCTGTCAGCTCTCCAGATGGAGCTGCAAGTGCTTCCATATGGCTCAGCTGTGAACCCCAGAGAAGGAAGAGGGGTGCCCGGAAAAAGGAATCCAGAAGTTGTGTTTTCCCTGTTTTCCTCCCTAAAACACTGAAGACATGCACGGCTCAAGGATGCTCGGAGAAAAGACCAGCTAAAAAAAGTTTAACAGCCAGCAAAGGAAATCAGTATAAATGTGAATCCTTAACCTATGCAGCAATCTTAGGCTAAAGGGTGTTTTTGGCAAGAAAAATCAAGAATGAATTCGGGACCTAGAGGCATTTACTACATCCTGCATTCCTGCAATGAAAACAACAGCCAAAAGGGCTATTATATTTTAGAAAGTGGGGTAGAACCGCATGCAATAGGCATTTAAGGGTCTCTCAGGAAAGCCAGGCTGTCTTTTGTGATTTTCAAATTTCCAGATCAAGACTGAAGAAATCACCGTTCTCATACTTTCTTCTCGACTCTGCTTTTTGGCAGCTAAACAAACCAGCATCCAGACAAGATGAAAGTCCAGTCTGGTTAAAAATACAAAACCCTACAAACAAGAAAATCAATTCTGGACAAAAGTTAGTGAAAAAAGAACTTTCTGCATTTTTTTTCTTACCCTTTTCATTCACTCTTGACTGAGGACCACACTGCAGCACAGAGAAAGGTAAAGGCTTTATAGCTCAACAGAAGACACATTAAACATTGAACAGACACTGACACTTGATCCTAATCCAAAAAGAAACTTCATCACTCTTTGCATTTACAAAGCCTTATGTTGACTGTAGAGCACTGTCTGAAAGAAGTCAAGAAAAGTTAATTAAAAAATAACATGCCTGGTATTTTATCCTTTTCCCTGCTCTCTTCTTTCACCTTCCTCTTTTTCTATGACCTTAAGGAACAGAGGACCCAAAAATTAAGTCAATGAGGAAAAAAAAGGATGATTAAAGTCATACAAGAGATGGTGTGCTCGCAAAGAAAGCATTTCTATTCCATTATTCCATCCCTAGATCAAGAAGTCTTAACATGATTAATTCTTCTCTGCTGATGAGAGCTGACACACACTGCAGAAAAAAAAATCTCAATATTTGGCCAAATCTCAAATGTGATCTGAAAGGCAGTTTGAGAAAGATGGAAATAAAAGGTTGGCAGCCCATGACTCCCTGCCCAGTGTGCAGCCCGGCTATGGGAGAACCAAGTTCTGGTTCTCCTGGGCTCCTGGGCACAGAGCAGCAAAAGCCAAACCTGGGGAGGGTAACCTCAGACTAGGGGTAGCCTCTGATGAGACACTCAAAAAACACATTTAAGGCCGAGAAGTTTTATTTTTCTTTCCCAAAATGGAGTTCCCAGGGAAACAATGGTGTTTTTGGTGCTTCTACAGCAGCAGAATAAGGAACCACCACCTTTCCTGGGTGGTCTTTGCAGTCAGTCCTTGACTCTTGGGCTCCAGGGAAACAACCGATGACAAGACTGCATGAAGAGGGATGGTAGCAGTCATTAGAAAACTACTGTCATTGTAAGTTCCCAGCAAATCAATCTGCAATCATGATTTTCACTATTTAAAAAAAAAAAAAAAGCTTGCACACAAAACATTGCATGTTTGAGATACTAAGAAGCCAGGACAAGATGTACAAGTCAGTAGCATTGAGTAAGCTGTTAAAAAATATCAATTTATAGACAAGGACATTAAATACTTTGTATTTAAGCATTTTACCGAAATGGCAACTGGCTATAAGTGTCAGGATTTTGAAAACGCAAAAGTTTGTACCCTACAAAACTAAAATTATCTTTACAATGCGGCTTTGGAACGGAAATTTCAACTCCAAAGGTAATTTTCCATTGACGGTGCTCACGGATGCATGAATTATACTCACAGGGACACATAAATAGGATTTGTTTGATTGCTTTATCATCCCTCTATTATAGCAAGTCTTCTAAAGCAGTAGGAGACATGATAGGGATGTTTGTAGATCCCTTGTCTGACAGCGCAGTGGGGGCAAAGTCACATCATTCCTGTTGAGATACAGGGCCTGACCATGAAATCCTAATTAATGCCATAACAATCTATTTATAAGTCTCTGAAGCAGCCAGGATAAGTTAGAAGCAAAATATTGATAGCATTTTATTTAAATTAAAAAGTCTGACATGACAGGAACCGTATTACAAGCTAATAAGGGATTAGATAAAGCAATTACAGGAAGAGACGCAGCTCTTGTCAGCATCACTGCCTTGAAACAACAGTTCCAGCCTTTCCTCAGGTGACATAGAAACTGAAAACAGGTTTGGTGGATGGTTCCTTGAGCTTAGAAATCCAGCGAGGCCAACTATCCTCTCCAAAGTCCTCAAATCCCTAGGAGACACTTCTCTCAGAGAAGCCTTATCACAGAATCACAGAATGTTCAAGGTTGGAAGGGACCTCTAGAGATCATCTAGTCCAACCTTCCTGCTTGAGCGGGGACACCCAGAGCATGTGGCACTGGGTGGCAGGTTTGGAAGATCTCCAGAGAAGGAGACTCCACAACCTCCCCGGGCAGCCTGTTCCACTGCTCTGTCACCCTCAGTCAAGAAGTTCGTCCTCACCTGGAGATAATGATCAGTTCAGCATCTCCCATATCAAGATAAATATTTGCGAATCCCACAACAGAAAGTGGGACATGAAACACATGAAAGCAGGGTTTGGTGGAACAACTTGGAGAAGGAAACACTTGATAGCTGAATGTACAAGAGTAAGAAGAGTGAGCGAGCAAGATTAGGCATCCAGGATGAGGGGGTGACCTCGGCAATGGGGAAAATGCAGGACAGAAGGAAGAGATCATTTTTCCACAACTGAAGATCTGAAGGTCCCCATGGGTTTCTGCAGTTTCCAATACAGGTCGGGGATGTCCTGCTTCCTTGCTTTGTTTGTCCATCAGTGAGCTGTTCCTATATGCCAGTCACTGGTCTTGCTCATAGGACCAGACGATGGGCAAAATAAGAGGTCAGGCCCTTTGGATTCCCAAATCATAGGGCTGCACGTGAAGGCACCTGGCCACCTGGCAAGGGCCAGCTCTATGTGACAGGCAAAGAGGGCTGGAATCACTGTTTCAGTAAGATGCTTTCTAAGCTCCTGAATCAGATTTGTCCCAAATTTTGTGCTACCAGAATTGAAGCCTTACAAGACACGGGTGTTATTTCCTGATCTTCTTTTAAAAACTGGGGAGATTTCTTCATTACAGAAGATGAGGTTGTCTTTCTGGTAGGAAAAATAAGTCTTTTATTTGGCCAGCTTTTGAAGGGGATGGTGTGGGAAGACCACAGAGAAAGGGAGATGTCCAGAAGAAGAGACGTTGGCTCTGTTCTGCAAGTACTGAGAAGTTGATTTCCCTGAAGTATCACAGTAAATGTCAGAAATTGCAGGGAATGACAGTTTTTGGAGTTATAGCAAGGGTCACATGAGCGACAATAGAATGAATAGCTCCTTCGAAGAGCCTAGCCCAAGTCTTCTCAGATAATGACCAACAAACACTGGAAGAGAAGAGGAGCACCTTTGGAGAAGACCTGTGGCAAGAGGCACCAGTTGATCGTGCTATGGCTCCTTGCCAAGTAAGGTCTCTAGAGGAGCTTGAGGATGGGAGGGATGGAGAGATGTTCCTCAGTGTCACCAGGAAATCTCATCCTTTTCACTGTGCTCACTATGGTAGACCCAGACGCCAATGGTGGAGAGCACGCACAGAAGGATTCAGAGTCCTGCTTCCTGGCACGTGGGGAAAAGTCTACATTAGCTGTCAAAGTAGCATCATCTCATATATTCGTCGTTAATTCTAGCAACCGATTTCAATTAGGGCAAGGAGGGGGGAGGAAGCTCTTCTGTCCTTCACGTTGCGAGACGTGTATTAGGAATGACAGCCTATGATTGCTGCCGACAGCCTCTAATTAACTGTCATTAGAAAACACATGTCAAAGCCTGGGGCCTATGCTGGATCCGCTAATTTAGCTCCAGAATATTAAAACCCGCCTTGAAATGAGCTGGTGAATGAATTTTGGTGTCTTATTAAACATCTCCTGCCCTCCCATTCCTAAATCTGTTTTACTCTTTGGTACTTGCATTTAGAACAAATGATGGACTGTTTCTTTTCTTTCTTCTTGTGTGGCAGCCGTCAAGAGAAGGATTAGGAGGCAAATATGACATGAAAGTGGAAGCTGTCTGCAACACTATTAGATGACTAATGAAACAATTATACTTAAACAACCACGACAATTACTTGAGGAGCTTATTTTTTTCAGTGGTACACTGCACGTGCAGACCTTAGCTCTCTTTCTTATTAATTAGAGCAAGCATAAATTAATCCATTTGTTTTTCCTGTCAGCATTGCGTGTGTGGGGTAACACAGTGCAAAGCTGGATGGAAACCTCTTCATTAAAGTCCTGGTGACACCTGCCTCTTGGCCGTGCAAAGTCACCTGCTAGAAGACGACGTGTTGAGGTTCCTTCAACCTCAACCAGTCTGTGTTTCTGTGTGATTTTGTGACATGGAAGTAGGCATGAATCCTGAAATAAGCCACCAGATGGAATCCCATGCTTTAAGAGAGGCCAGACTCCACTTGGAAGGAGCGTTTGAGTTTTGTTTTCATAAAGGACATGTATATAAATTGCAGCAATTCTTGATCCAGCTGCGACGCGTATTCTGGTGTCGGAACCCAGATTAGTGTTAAAGGTTCCTCCTGTTGCAGGAAACACAGATATTTCTTCAGCATAGGGAATACTAATTCCAGAATCCCAGACATTCCGAGTTT